CCCCCTCCTCCAGCCCCCCCAACCCCTTACTCACCATCACCAGAGCCCTGGCGCTGAACATGCGGCCTGGCCGGCTGTACGTTTCAGCACCAGGGCAAGGGGCCAACCATGGAGATGCTCTGGCAGCCAGAGCATCTCCCTGGAAGACCCAGCCTCCAGTTGCCTCAGGGCACACTCCAGGACTGTGCCCTGCCCCATTTTTTTTTTGTTTTGGGTTTTTTTGGTCTAATTTTCTCCCTGTGCTGCAAACGTGCAGTGCGGGGAACATTTTTTTGTTTCCACACGTGCCTCTTGCCCTGCCTCAAAAGGGTTTGAGACAGGGCAAGAGGCACGCGCGTGCTCATCTGGATGTGCCCCACAGGTTTAAGTGACATGGGTTTGAATGAGTGAGTGCATGAGTGTGTTTATGTGTTAAGGTAACCAGTGTCCCTCATACCTCAAAGTTTGCATTTATAATTTTATTGGTAACGTCACATCCCGTCCAATAAGCTAAGATTTATGATGATCCTGAGAGTTGGTCCTTTGTACCCAACATCCACCATAAGTGCTACTTAAATCTAAACACTTCCTTTATTCCCAACCTTACCCCAGAAGAGTTATGACCCTGTAAAGAAAAAAAAAGGATCAAGAAATTTCACCATCTTTGCTATACAATTTTGTACGGACAATGCTTAAATACTATAGTGAGTATTGCACTGGATAGCAATGCAGAACTCTAGACAGAACCTCTTAAAACCTCTCAGCTATATCAAAGTAAACTGATGTTTTAATTTCAAGCTTGAATACCACTTATTTATTGAACTGAATTTAACTCACACTATCTGATGAAGCATCTTTTGCTGTTCCTTAAATCTTCTGTGTTTCAGTAGCTTGTTGTGTGTTGGTGAAACATCAGCTGTGATTGCTGTAGGAAAGACGATCGGTGGCAACCGCATGCTCCAACTCTCTTTTTCAGTAGGTGTTGTTGATCTATTTGAAAGCTCCATCTAAAACCATAATAAAACAAGATATTAAAATATATCTTCCCAAAAACAGATAGAATAGTTCACAGACTAAATTGTACTTGCAGCAGAATGTGTTACTTGCAATAATTTCCATAATCCAAGCGCCAGAGCATTCACACTTCTGTAAGAGAAAAGTCTATATTTTCTAAAAAAAGAAAAGTCTATATTTAAACTTCAAAGTAAACTGAGATAATTAGGGCTCTCTTCTTTCATTGGCACATACAAAAGCAAGCAACTAGATCTGGTATGTGTGGCTCTGAAAGCTGTAAGATGAACTTTACTTATGTTGTTCTTTTTGTTTTGGTAGATCTGCATGGCTAGGGACAGACATTCAAAAAGCCTGAGCCAAAATTAATTCAGTCTTTGGAGGTTAGTCTAACCTGCAACGCTTGAGCCAATTTTGAGACATTCCCTTTTCATTCTAGAAACGCAGACAAATGCCTGCAGTGGCTCAGGCTAAAAGCCGAAAGTGCGGGGAATGGGATGCTACAACAGCCATCCCATCCCTTCCACAATGCTGTGCTGAGGGGGGCATGGCCAGGCCCCAGCAGGATGCTCTGATTAGGGAGGGGTTCCCTGCCACTGTCTATTGATAACAGAGCACTTAGCTACACAGCATGGAGTTACACAGGAAGTTATCAGCCCATCAGACAAAACAAAGCTTCTCTCATTAGCTCAACCTCTTATTAAACAACTTTTTCCAAGCAAGGAATGGAGGGGCATTACCAGCTACCTGTTGATTAGCTTTAAACAGGCCTAAGTGGACACTGTTCTGTCTGCCTTTGTCCTGTCTCCCACAGCACATACCGTAGCCAGCATGTGGTATGCTAGCTAATGCTGAGAGGTGTCTGTGTAAGGCAGAGGGGAAGGGAGGAATCCCTGCTTGAGCAGGAAGTGGTGAGGGGGACAGCAGAAGCAGGAGGAAACCAGGCAGACCCCACTGTACCTGCAGTCTGTCAGAGCTGCAGCCAGGGAGCAGAGAGGTAGGGCCAGTGCTGCCAGGCTGGAGTAGAGAGCAGACCCCTGCCCAGGGTTGCAAAGCATCTGGAATGCTGGAGGACTCTGAATTAACTTAAACCAGCAAGGGGTCTGGGACAGACATTGCATAAACCGGTTTGACCTAAATCAGTTATGTCTGATACTATATTCAAACAGGTTTATTGCAAAACAGTTTCAGGCATTTTCAGCCTAATTTATGTGCACTGAACCTCTGTTCTCTTACAGCTTAAAACCAGTTTATGTGTAATGACTGTCCCTAGCCTATATGAAAACTGGGTTGTAGACAAGTTTCCAGATCAGTACTGCTGGTAAATATGGTAAAGTTTCCCTTCAGGATTATACTAACCTGCCTATCTTTTGGCTTTTGCTGCAGGTGAAGGCTTTTCATTCAGTTGTCTTGCATTCCAGCCTCTCAATTATAACTCTGCCTTTACTTAATGGACTAGCAAATTGCCCATCAAGAAGGAAGTGGGGTGGGGGGGAGATACGGAGCGAGAGGGGATGGAGGGAAGCTTGCTAACCTTAACTGTAACCCTAACCCCCACCCCCCCATGCCGCCACCGCTTCCCAAGAGCAAGGGAGGGGAGGGGGAAGGTTGCCCCACCATCCCCCTCTGCTAGTACCCCACGCTGCCGCCACCTCCAAGGAGCAGCCACCTCCCCTTTATGCCTGCAGTCACAGTGGCACTCCAATGCCTCCAGGGAGCAGGTCCATAGGTGGCGGTA